AAGCTGGCAATGGCAATTCTTGTAAAGTTAAAGACTGCACTGGAATGAATGTTCTCCAAATTACCAACATAGAAATGACACAAAAAAAATCTGATTTATTTTAAGATCTTGCTCCAGGTGGGCCTAAGACCATGGGATGTGATAATATGATGAACAAGAAAAAAAAAAAACCCAGATAGCCTTTAGTCATTAATTTCAAGACCATTTTAATTTACCAAGAGGATTGGATCGTGGTGCCTTTAAGGTTTGGAGATGAAAATGGACACAGCTCTGCGTTTTGTTTTTTACAAGTAGAACAGGGGTGCTTACATCTGGCCCACAGGGCAACCCTGGAAAGAATGAGGGACTGGCCCATGGTACCTCTGCCAACAAAAACAGGCTCCCAAGCTGTGTTTCCAGCTGTGATGGCTCCTGCAACCCTCTGCCAGTGAAAATGGAGCTTGAGGGAGGTGGAGGAAGGTGCGTGTGGCCCTCCCAAACTACGTTTTCCCTGGCAGAGAGGGTTACAGGAGGCCACCGTAGCCGGAAACAGAGCTCGCTGGCAGAGCGCTCGGGCCACCACAGGCGCCCCCGACATCAGTGACATTGAGCAGGCCACACCCACTCTACTACACCCACCCCAGCCCCCTGAGATCAAACACAACCCTGATGCGGCCCTATAATGGAATTGAGTTTGACGCTCCTGAAGTAGAACATCATGGAGCCCACACCTCTATCCATAGAGACAAGTAGTCATATCCTCTGGCCTTGGTTTCCTGACTGTAGCAAGAAATGGTGTGTTTTTTGTTTGACTCTGAATCTTCTGCCCTCAGGCATTTTAAAGAAAAAATACCTGCCACCCATCAGTGAGAAGAGCAGCATCCAGCGCATCCATAACAAGCTCTCCAGCTGCCGCTCAGGGATGGTATCATTGCATGGTTCTTCGGGGAGTGATGGCAGCCGTGGGGGTGGGGTACCCCGACCCCGACAAACCCTACAGGAGCAGCTCAATGGCCTTACACCTATCACCATGAGTATAAAGACTGGCACAGTGGATGAGGACTCTTCAGGCTCCGAGTGAGTATGGCCGAGCCTTTTTCTTGCTCGCCTGTCCTTGGTGGTTTGCATGTGACAACCTCCTGCCTCTGTGAAGCCTCTTGTCCACCCACCAGATCTGGTGCTTCCGATCTCTCAGGCTGATATTTTGTTATATTTCATAGTTGCCCCCACCTTTATTCCCAGGCTGTGCCTTTAAGAATAAGGTCTATCTACTTACAATTCCCTGGATTCCTCCTGTGTTATAAAAGTCATTTAATATTTCACTGACCTAGGGAGTTGGGGGAGGGATACCATCCTTGAAGAATATATTCCTCTGGCTTTGGGCCCAGACTATAACAGCTGGATGTAGCTCAGAATTTGAAAGGCAGGATGCAGCCATCTCCTTCTTAGGTGGGAAAGGGAGTTTTTAAAGCCCAGGGTTACCCTGTAGCTTGCCCAAGGGGCAGAGGAGCATGGTCAGAATTAAAGTCCCTGAGAAGTACTCAGCTGCTCCTGTGAGATGCTGTGGGATTCAGCCCACGTACCATCTTCAGTAATGTGATGGGGGAATGGGGGGATGCTATCCTGTTCTAACTTCCTCCTGAGCTCTCTTGCACTAACCCCCTTCTCCTCCTCCTCTCCTCCCTTCTCTGTTTCTTGTTCTCTCACCTCTCGCTTCAATCGCCCAGATTTCTGTTTTTTAATTTCCTCCATTAACACACAAGCCCCAGGGGGGGTGCTTTGCTCAAACCTGCTCATGACCACACTCATGTGTTTGTGTTCCCCCTGTCCTGTCTCGCTTTGTGTTTGATCACTGAGCAGGAGCGATGAAACCTCAATCTGATGTCGCATGCACCAGGCTCTCTCTGTCTCTCACACACGTTTGGCCAGTCTGGGAGCCAGGATTGCTCTCAAACCACAGCGAGGAATGTTGTCTCCGTCAGCCCGGCCTGGCCCAGGGAGCTGGACAGTGGTATGTAGTGCCAAATGAAAAGTGACCTGCCCCCCCACCCCCCGGGGGGGAACAGCGGGTTCCAGGAGGCGGACCTTGTCGAACAGATGCACTTTGGATCATTCTAAAATGGACTGAAAGAACATAAACTTAACCACCTCCACGTCTTCAGGGATTTTCATGCTTTGTTGCCCAGTCTGGAAGTGCTGCGTGTCTGGAATATATATATATTTTTCTTTGTCAAAATTGGTCTGGGGGAGCCTCAGCAGCCACCATGTGGACATGATGTATTACTGTGCAGATGTTTTCATTGAATATTTGACAATGGGGTGGAGCTAGGGGCCAGTGTGCTTGAAGATGGCTGCAACTAGGAGTCACCAAGAACTGTACGTTTTGACTCGAGTAACAAACCAGGATCAGCCTAGTTTTGGAGGGACACCATCCTGGGCTTCTCCTAGGATGGAGGGAAATAGCACCTTTTAAATGGAAGCTGTAGGGTGTAGCAGACCTGGCTGTGCAGAGGACGCGTGTGAGGCCTACATTCCGTAAGAACCACAGCTGGCTTTGCGTTGCATCTGGAGGCACAACCCAGAGCCTCCCTTTGCAGCATATGTGTGTCCACCAGCCATGGTCATGTTTTTTTTCTGATCCAGCAGCGTGCATCTAAACACACCTTCCAAGGTGCAATTGAAGCATACTTAATCCAGGGTGCACTTCAATCTCGGGTTCTCTGGCACGCACTGAAAAATGGGAATCTAACATCTTGGTTTTGCCATACTAAGCAATTATAGAATAGGAAAGAAATTAATCATCCAAATAGCTTTTCCAGAATGCTGTCCTGCAGGGTAGCACCAGTTCCACCAGTTGCACTTTTCTGGCTTAAGGAAAGGTTTTTAAAAAAAATGTTGAAAGAGTAGGCTTGTTCCAGACCTGCTAGCCATCTCCCCAGGATGTTCATCGCCATCACGCTGCCTACATTCATGGACTGTACAGTTGAGCGTGAGCTGTGGATCTTGCTCTTCTCTGGCAAGTTGCTTACTCCAGCCTTGGGTGCTTCAGATTGCAGTGGGATCAGGGACAGAGGACCAGCATGTCCACTGGCATCAATGGAAACGTTCCTCTTTGGATCACGGTTACTTTCAAACTGCTTTGTTTGACAGCCAATTCTCCAAGCTCAGCTCACCATTCCAGGAACTTGGCCCCATCGGAATGCTCCCAAGAGGCAGCCCATAAGGTGTTGAGCGCCACGGGCGTGGCCTGCTGAGCCATCAGTCCATGCTGCAATTATTTTCGTAGAAAATGACAAAAAGAAAAAAGTCCCGCCTCCTGCTCCTCCCAGCCAGTCAGCACGTGTCCCCCTGTTGCTACTGAACGCTGCCTTGATGTCTCCCAAAAGCGCCTGGCTCTCACGCCAACAGGTTGCTGCCTTTCTGCCTCAGAAGCCTTCATTTTTTTTACACTCAGCCAAGTCCTGATGCCTGCTCATAATGGGGATTTTCACGTTGGTCCTTTTGGAAAGTACTTTTTTTATAACGACATTCACCGGGAAAGAGACTTTTCTGCTAAGGGAGAGTGGGAAGAGGGGGACAGCTTGGGGAGGGTGAAGGCACTGTTACTTTGACCTGTTTTTATTTTTGTTTTTCATTTTACCATTGCTGAAGGATGTTCTAATTTAAGTAGCTGAAAAGCCCTTGAGGGGAAGGGTCATGCTTTATAGCAATGTTAAATCTTGTTAGCTGGGTGCAGAATCTGATGCGCTTTATTGACTTAGCCAAGGTTTGCACAATAAGGGGTTCATTGAGACTTGACTGTTGTCATGGCCTGGCTTGTCAAAGAAAGGAGTGCTGAAAATGAGGCTTTTCTTTTTCAACACCTCCAGTAATATTATCCATTACTGTTTAGCCTATTGTGGCCTCTGTACTTGCCAATTCCAAAACCTTTCTTGGAATGTTTTGACACATAGAATGTGATTCTCTGAAATCTGTATAAGGTCAACTTGGCATTGCAGTGGCATCTACAATGCTAAGTAGATCTACGACAACTCACCACAGGATAATTCGCCATGGCCAACTCGCCAAGGGACAATTCACTGCGCAACAAGAGTTACACTGATATCAAAGAAATGGTGGAATAGAATCATTAAAGAAAGGATGCCAAAGGAGGGACACAATGAAATGTGAATGACAAAAATTAAAATATTTTTTTAATTATTTTAAATAGTGACATTGAATTGTTGAACTATTCTGCAGCAAGTTGACCATGGCAAGTTGGCTGTGGTGAGTTGTCCCATTCCAGTAGGTCACAGGGGATGAAGACCAGCCTCTTCAGCGTATGATCTACTACTGTGTTATTTCCATTGAGTGTTTCTTCTGAACCATTTGACTTTAGCTGGTTAAGTGAAAGAAGACACAACCCCCCGCCTCCCGTCCAAAAAAAGTCTGTACAAAAGAAGAGCCATTTGTCCAAGCTTTACCTGGAGCCTGTATTGCTGTTGTGTTCAACACCATTTTGGTCAATTCCTGCTGCTCATACTGAAGCAAACTGTAGGCAGGAACCTTTGGCTTCCTAATATATGGCTTGTTGCAGTTATTGCAGCAAGGAGGAATATTTAAACCCAGAGGACTTCCCATGTTGCCCTGGAAGCATTTTCCCTCATGACTTGACTCATAGGTGAATGCAAAATGGTAAGTGATGCTTCCAAATGCAGGCAATGGGAAACACTTTTGGCTATCCTGTATCTATGATGGCTTTCCTCAGCCCTCTGCTATTCAGATGTGTCTGTGCTACAAGTCCCATAATCCAGAACCAGCATGATCCATTAGTCATGCAAATTAGAGTTTGTTGAATGTAGTCCAATGTATCTGAAAGGCATTGACTGGGGAAGGCCAACTTGAAATGCAAAGGTATTAGAGTAAGCAGATCAGAAGAAAAAGTCACTAGGCCTTTCAGATGTAACTAAGTTACAGTTCTAGGTATTCCCGACCCAGATGATAAAAGCTGGGAATTATTAGCTGCATTTGTGGAACTACACATGTCTTACTCCTGGACAAGGAGAGGCAAACCAAAAAGGTTCCTTTTCAAATTGCTACCTATTAAGGTAGAGGCTAGTTTATTCCTGAATATCCTTATTTTGTTTTGGTATGCCGAACAAAGGTTTGAAGGAAAGATCAATGACTACTCTACAGTGTCTTCCATAAAGCCCCATTCCTTCATAAAAACATGGCAATTATATTCTTCTCAAAGTAACATTGCATTATATTTATGTCAGGGCTCCATTAAGGCAGCTATCAAACAAATGAAGCCTTGGGATTTTTTCCTTATTGGAAACATCTTCACTTACCTAAATTTGGCATCTCTGAAACTATTCGAAGTATTAGATTTCTACCAGACAAAAGCACTGGTTACCTGCTCCATCATCCCAGTCCCAAGTACCTCTAAATGCTGAGTTTTTAGACTGTACGTCAAATGCACAAACTAGCCTACAATAACTTCCTATGCAAAATCTTTCTTATATGGCAAATCCATTAGTTGCAACAAACTTGAAAGCAGTGGTAGTAAAGGATTCAAACTAAGCTCTCTACAGCAGCAATGACTTCCAGAGAAAAGAGTTGATTCACCTATTCCTGTGCCAGGTGGGACGGAATTGGAGGGGAAAGGTGTGCCACTCCATTCATGACCAAGGAAGTGTTAAACCTTAACTGTATTAAAGACTGAGAAACTGTCTTGTATGGGGAGCTTGATGTGAAGAGTTCAGCTTCTGCTTCATCACTGCAGCCAATTAATTTTTAGTGTCCCTCTGCTGTCTATAAAGAGCTAATTAGCTGTTTTAACTGTGGAAAGGATGTATTTGACATGTCTGCTTTTTAATTTATTATTTTTAAAAGATGTATATGCATATATTTACAACTGAGCACACCTTTCATTTCCTAGGCAATAAATCGCCACCACCATTGTCCAGATCTAAACATGTGCCATTTAGGTTCAAGGTTCTTGTCTTCTAGTAAGTACACTGATCCAATCCATTCTTTTCCTCTTCACTAGCTAGTAAAGTCATTTCCAGCAGAACTCAGCTACAGTCATGTACAGT